CTGCCAAGTCCCACCTAGAGACCTTTCGGGAGCCCTCCCAGGTGTTCATGTCCCACCTTTGAAACTGCTTTGGGTAAGTTTTATATTTATCTGTGTACTCATTGCATCCTCCTGGTAGAACATAAACTCTTTGAGGGCAAGAATTATTTCCTTTTCTACTCTGTAGAGTATAGTGAGTTGTTTTTCAGTCATGTCCAACTCTTTGTGATCCCAACTGGGGTTTTCTTGGCAAAGACACTGCAGCGGTTTGCTATTTCATTCTCCTCTTCATTTTACAAACAAGGAACTGAAGCAAACAGGGTTAAGTGACTTGCCCAGGATCACACAGCTAGTAAGCATCTGAGGCCAGAGTGGAGCTCATGATGAGTTTTCCTGGCTCCAGGCCCAGCACTCTATCCACTTCTCCGCCTAGCTGCCTCAGGTCAGGGCAGTGAGTAGGAGAAAACATATTTGGGTCCTCTTGTCAATATAAAAATTGATTTTTTTAAAGCCTTGATAACAGCGAACCACAATTAAACAAAAAATAATTATCAAATCCAATTTATTTAGATAAACACACCAAGAAAATTGCTCTTTAGGGAGAGTGGAAAGTCAGTAAATACTTCAAAACATCATGAAACCAAAGAAGACAGCAGAACAGAGCTCTGCAAAAACCTAGGGCATACACGAGGCAAATGATCTGAATGAACCCAGGTCACAGAGTCCAGGGATAATTAAGTCTTTCCCATTTTCTCAGCACCACCACTACCACCACCACCACCACCACAGCCAAACCTCTTTTCATTTTGATATGTGCAATATTTAGAATGAAACATTTCCCAAAAGTCTTACTCTGTTCCTTACTTTAAGCAGAAACTTAAAATTGAGTTGCTGTTTAAGCCTGATTCTGGGCCCTCTGCATTCCTAAAACTATATATTTCCTGGCTTCCTATCTGAATTTTGCCTCGGATGATCCCTAACCCCTGCCGACAATTTAGGAGAGAACAGTTGGCTGAACTGGAGGCAAATATACACATAGATGAAATCAAATGACTGCTGGAATATCAAAGAAACCGAGCCAGAAAATTCCCTTCCCTCCCCTCCTGCCCAGCCTGTTAGGCACCTCCCTCATCTGCTATAGGCTGGAGATGGGGCCATAATGGTTTAAGAATGTTTCAGTGACTAAAATGATCTTCTACAACTCATTTGATATCACAGATATATTAATAAGAGCATTTTAATTGGTTGTAAGGAGAGGGAAGCTCTCTGCTATTCCTAAGAACAGAAGGTTCAGAATCTAAATGGCAGTAACCTGTCAGCAAAATGCAAATATTGTCTTGCTTAGAGGTCATCCTGGGAAGGGACCAGTCTCTCATTTGGCAAAAATGAATAAATAAATAAATGAATGAAACTCCAACAGGGCTTTGTTCATTCATTCTATTGCTCCCCATTCTAGTAGTCAAAGAATAAAATAGTTAAAGATAGCAGTGCTGCAGCTTCTCCTTAGGAACAGTGTATGCTTATCACTTGTGAGATTGGTCACTGAAACAGAAGCAAGGGGGAAACTGGGAGCCACCCAACATACTAAAGGAGCGTTCCAGACATGGTAACAATCAAATAAAGTGAAATTACATCAGGACCTTTAGTAGTATGGGAACTCCCTTTAAACCCACCTAGAACTTAGCCTTAGGGAGCTGCCTGAGCCTCAAAGTGATTTTTCAAACAGAGAGCAAAGACCAAAGGTGGAATCTGAACTCAGACCCAGCACTCATCCTATCCGTTGTGACACTACCTACAGGGGAATCTACTTGTAGGTTAATCAAAAGAACCCTAAATCTGGCATGAGAAGACCTGGATTCTGAGTCCCAACTCTACCATTGACTGCCCATGGCACCTCTCTGAGTGTCACCTTTCCCACTTTTGACATAGGGATAAGTAAGTGTATTAAAAGCTTAAACTACACTTTTGGGACACCGTGTTGATTGTCTCCACTTTATCCTGTCTACATCTTATTCATCCATAGTTATTTAGATGTTGTCTCCCTCATTAGACTGTAAACTCCTTGAGAGTAGGAACTGTCCTTGCATTGCTTTATATCTATCCCCAGTGCTTAGCACAGAGCCTGGTACCAGTAGGTACTTAATTAATACTTATTGACCAAATTTCACGGGCTACTTTACCAGGTGTTCAAGGATCAAATGAAAGCAGATCAGAGGGCTGTAGAACTGGGCAGAATGAACAGTATCTGTCATCTAGTTCAACGTGCTCATTTTACAGTAGAAGACACTGAGGCTTAGAGAGAGGAAGGGACTTGGTGGTGAGCTCCCAGGTAGGAAGAGGCACAACAGGGACTCAAAATCCAGGTTTGCTGACTCCAGCCTAGCCCTCTTCCCCCTGCACCTTCTTGCCTCTGTACTAGTAATGCACAAAGTGTACTCCACCACATAAATGCAAGCTGTCAAGCAGCCCTGGAAGAAATCAGGGGATGTGAAGTTTGTCCTTCCAAACTTTCATTTACAACACTTTACAATCTCATTTGTGGAAAGAAACTTCAGAAGGGATATTTAGAAAGGGATCTTTACAGCAGCACTTGTTAAAAAAGAAAAAAAGATAAATAAAAAAGTTACATTTCATGTCAAAATACAAACATGCTTTTAACTTCAAAAATAGCTTTTTAAACACATGGACAATTTTTTTTTAAAAGCCCACTTACTCTCTTACTATGCCACCATCAGGCATGTGATGCATTTACTGATTATGGGGTCTTAGGACCACAGACCTAGAGCTGCAAAAGATCTTGGAGACCATCATGATTATTTCTGAAACACTCATCTGTCAAAACCCTCAAATAACCACCATGGACATTTTCATAGCAGCACCTGAACATTTGCAAAGCCTTTAAACCAATCATCTTATCTGGGCCTCACAACAATCTTGTGAGGCAGGTCTCCAGGTATTGTTAATCCCATTTGACAAATAATGGGGGCAAAGTGGTTGGCCCAAAGACAGAAAGCTAAGTAAATGTCCAAGGTCTTTCCTGAATCCAATTCCACTGCCTCTAGACATGCTGATCAAAATAATAATACTCACAGGGCATTGTGGGGATCAAATGAGAGTCTCATATTTCAGACTTGAAAGGGATGGATAGCCAGTCCACCAAGGACTTCACTGAGGACACATAAATACTTCATTAGTTTCCCTGCACTCCTTTCTACCTGGAACCATGCCCCAAATGCTTCTCCCAGAAGCTGGTGCACAATATGACCTAAATGGAACTATGGCTACTCTAGATGACTGATATAGATTCGGGCTACAGGCAGAGTTTAGGACAGAAATTTGGGAGGGAATGATCCTGGTTTTTCCAAAGGAGTTGGGAACTAAAAGTGGAGCTAGAAGAAAAAAAGAAAACCCTGCAGAAGATTGGGGATGCTTTCACAAGGAGTAACCAAAATTTCCCATTCATAAATTGATTGTTATGTGGTATATATTGTACTAAGATACCCTTCTTTTTGCCCTGTCAGCCAGAGCTTTCCAAGAGTTTCACTGGGCATTTGACTTTCATGGCATATGTTGGCCAATAAACAGATGCAAGTGTGGAACCCAATGAGAGGAAGCAGCACAAAGAGACCTTCTTCTGATAGAATTTTGGGACTAAGAAAAGGGTCCTTGGGGTGCTGGGGTATGCAGCTGGAAAAGGGCTTGGCAGCATCTAGTTCAAACAGATTGGAGCTGGAATGGGTCTCTGCAATCCTCTCCTTTGAGAAATGAGAACATTGAGGCCCAGAGAGGGAGAGGGAAAGGGAAAGTACCCACGGTCTACCAGAGATGAAGGGGCAGAGCAGAGGCTCAACCCAGGTCTTCTGATTGCCAGACCAGGGTCCTACTCTACTCCTTCTCTTCTCCCCCAAAGAGTTTGATTCTAGAGGGGTAAGATGGCACCCTTTCTCTTGGCCAGAATCCAAGTTGGGGGGGGTTAGATCATCTCTACCAGTCATGTCCAGCTGGAAAAGTCTGTGATTATAGTGGACAGTAAGACAACTACCCCAGGGAAATTGAAGGAGGCATCAGAGCCCTAAGGAAAGAATGCCAGCTTGGGAGGCAGGAACCTGGGTTCCTACTCCAGCTCTGCTACCCTGGGTAAGTCACTTCCCTTCTCCATCAAATAATGAGATCAGACTAGATTAGAGCTTCTCAATCTGCCATCCACCAGCTTGTGAGTTTTGTAACTATGATTTGGGGAATTTTATTTCAATACAATCAGTTTCTTTTGTAGTCCAGGTATTTTAGTCTATTCATTTAAAAGCACGATTCTGAAAAGGCTCCACAGGCTTCACCAGACTGCCTGGCCAAGGGTCCAGGACCCACCTGAAAGGGCTAGACAACATCTCACATGCTTTCCAGGTCTAACTGTTCTGATGGCAGGAGTCAATCTCCTTCCCTAGTGTTGTAAAGACATTCTGGTGTGTAAGGAGAGACACTCCAGGCCTGGTCTGAATGCTGTCTCGCCCAGAGAGGTTGCTTCCGACTCAAGGATTCTATGAAACACAGTTGCCCCTGTCTGCAGAGAAGATACTAAAGAATGGAGTACCGGGGACAGGGGTGGAGGCATCTCAGACCCGGTTAATCTTTAGCCCGCTTTTTTCTCTTGGTTCTTGAAACAGCGAGATGTCATGGAAAGTGAGCTGGAGCCGGAGTCGGAGGATTTGGGTTCAAATGTGTCCTCACTGCTTAGTTTGGCGAGATCTCTCCCTGGACTTCAGTGTCTTCATCTAAAACAAGAGGACTGGACTATACGGTCCCTGGGGCTCCCTTTAACGTTCTAAAGCCCAATAATCCTTAGGGCCGAAAGGACCCAGAAGTTCGGGTCCCCATGCTCCCGCAGTTTTATAGGAATCTAGGACAGGCGGGACCGCACCGGATGGGACGCGACGCCCCTTCGGGGACGGTCGGAATATCCCCACCACAAAGGGGCACCCGTAGGCGTGGGTGAAGCGGAGGCCCGTCTGGAGGAGGGGGGTCGCTTAGAGGTGTGGGGCATAGAAAGGGCTCAAGTAGGTGGAGCCAAGGAAGGGGGCAAAGGGGCCCCCGGCCGCGGCCGCTGTTAGGGGAAAGGATGCGGCGGCCGGGAAGAGGACGTTGGCCGAGGAATAGGGAGGGAACGTCTGGAAGTGGAGGGCGCTGGGGCCCGGTGGGCTGGGGCTGCGGCCGGGCGCTTGGACAGAGGCTCCCGGGACTCCCGGGGCTCCCGCGGCTCCCGGTGGGGCGGGCAGCGCGGCCGGCCCGTCGGCGCCGGGGTTCTGCTTCTTCCACTTGGTGCGGCGGTTCTGGAACCAAATCTTCACCTGCGTCTCGGTGAGGCTGAGCGCCAGCGCCAGATTGAGTCGCTCGCAGACCGACAGGTAGCGCGTGGCCCTGAACTTGTTCTCCAGGGCCACCAGCTGTTCGTAGGTGAAGGCGGTGCGTGCCCGGCGGGGCTTAGCGCAGCCGCTGCCCTCGGGTGGCCGTCGGCGCTTAACGGGCCGCGGTGACTGGGAGCCCTCAGCGCCCGGGGCTGGCGCCGGGACCCCTCCGCTGGTGCTGTCCTCCCCTCCTCGGCCCTCTGGCGTCTCCGGCCCAGAGGGTCCCCGACGCCTTCGATGCATCCGCCGCCGCTGCCGTCCGAGTCCCTGCCCTCGAAGCCCCAGCACTTCCTCATCTTCCTCAGCCTCTGCCTTCTCCCCATCTTCATCCTCCACATCCTCCTCGTCGTCCTCGTCTTCCTCCTCGTAGTCTTCCTCCTCCTCTTCCTCCTCCACTGAGCAGTCCAGGACGCACGCTGGTCCGCTATCTAAGAGGGAGAAGCGAGCGTGGCTAGCGGGGACGCAGGCCACATGCAAGATTGACCCGCATCATCACACTCGCCCTGCCAGGCTCCGACCCTCTGCTTCCCCCGCCTCCCATTACTAGGGACGTCCTGCCCAACTCTCCCGGTCCCGAGCCCCTGCTCTCCCAACGCGGCCACCAGCGCGCGTCAGTACCCTACCCCCTAACCCACCCCACCCTCCATGTCCACAGAAGCCCAGACAAGTTTCCAGTTGGTGGTGACTACACGGTTAGACAGCAGCCAGTCCAAACTCCCCATTTTACAGATGGGGAAACCCGGTCCCAGACCCGTCCACGGGATCCAGAGCTGGAAACGGGCTTCATGGTTAGGCAAGTCACTTAACCCTCCCGAGCTCCAGTTTCCTCATCTGTAAAATGGTAGGCATTAGACTAGATTGCTTCTGAGGTTCCACAACTCCCTTAGTGAGTTATGATCCTGCGTCACCCGCAGTCGTCCAGTTAGCCCCCCCCCCCACACCTTACCGATCATGCTGTCTACTGCACTCCTTTTACAGGGGAGGAAACTGAGGCCCAGAGAAAATCTACACTTACATTTTGCTGCCTCTGGTTAAGGTGAATCTGGGACGGCTTAAACTTTATCCTTTGCCATATTGTAGGAGTATCCCCCAGTCTTCCCTCCCAAAGAGTACTATACCCCATCAATAAAGGCCACTCAGCCCATTGGGTAAAGGTATTTGGGGGGCAAAATTATTAGGAAGGGACAATTTGGGGGGCTAGGGTCAGGAGAGATCTTATTACAAAAAGACATTGAGATGTCGGATTCCCTCAAGTGTTATGTCTTCCAAGTCCCGAGGAGACGATTTTGGTCTGTGACGGGTATAGATTTGGAAGCAATTAAAAAAAAAGTTATTAAGATCCCCTCCTTTTAAAAAGTGAAATTCCCCCTCTCCCATCTTCTCTCTCCTGCTGTGTTAATAGAGTTTCAGATTTGTGAGGGGCCAGATCGATAGATGTCATCTATTAAAGGTAAGTTTTAATCGAGCAATATTAGGATCAGACAGGGAAAGGGGGTTTGAAGTGCGCACCTGCAAGCTGTGGGAAGGAGATATGCGGGAGGCAGTAATAGAATATCGATCAATGGGGGGCGGGGAGCTCAGGCCCCCTCTGAGGGGCGATCTGAACAATTACTAGGCCCGGCCTGGCTGTCCCAAGCCCAATCTCCCTTGGCCATAAGCACCCAGAGCCCCAGACAATTATGGCTCAGTTTTGTGTCTGCTCATCTCTTGTGGGTGGGGAGCTTGGGGGCCTGAGCTGCCCACCCTACCTTTCTCCTTTCCTCTCCTAGCCTGGGCTCCCTTCCCCCACTGCACTCCTGAGTTTCTCTGAGTGGCCACCTCTTTCTGGGGGAAAGATGTCTGTTCACCTGCACCCACTCATCCGTTCCAAAAATGACGGTAGCAGGAAATTCCTTCCTCCTCCCTATCTGTGGTGGGAAAAAGGAAAAAGGAGGGGGTCCAAAGGAAAGGATTCCCCCAAAGCAGTGAATGGCTCTGTGTTCTCAGTCTGGGTCAAGGAAGTTGGCCGAAGGAACTGGGATACTAGACAGTACCAGAAGTGAACTCCCTCCATCTCAATCTCCATCCCTCTTCTTCCCACAACTGATCTGGGCAGAGAATCACTGGCTTGCCTGGCAAGTGTATCCATCTCCAGATGTGGCTCAGGGAGGACGATCAGGGCCCGGCAACCTCACAGCTTTGGTGGGATGGAGAGGAATGGATACCTTGGGCCAGATGCTTGCCCTTCCCTCCATACATGGTCACCCTTCCTTTTTTCCTGACCTGACTCGCTCTTGCATAGCGATAGACAATCCACCCCTCCTCTTCTCCAAACACAGTCTAGGTGAGGGGGAGACACCTGCCCAGGACAACCCAAGTGGCAGGTGAAAAGTTGGAGCCACTTGGAGCCCCAGCCACCCTTAGCCACCCCTTGGCTCCCCAGCGCAGGCAAGTAGGAAAGGAAAGAGCAGCCGCGGGCCTAGGGGTACCGGAGCGCACGACATCCTTACCGGAGATCTCGGCCTCCCTCCGGCTGCTGGGCTCTGTCTCGGCAGACTCCGTCTGCCCCAAACTTTTCTCTTGTTCCTGGGAGGCGCAGAGGCTTCCCCTGGCCACCGGGCCCTTTCTCCGGGTGAATTTCTGCGGGTCCAGGATGTCTAAGATGGAGAAAGAGATCTTGTGGTGGCTAGGGGCCACTTTGGCCCTGCTGTTCTGACATGCCAGCATTCCCGTCCTTGGAGAGATGCCCACCGAACTGGGCAGCCTCGGGCGGGGGACTCACACCGGGAAGGTACCGGATAGTTTGGGGCGGGAGATCCGTTGGGCTGTCTTGAAGCGAGCCCTGACGGGCGCTCCTGGGCGGATTGGAGGGATGGACGCACAGAGATAGCGTCCCCCGGAGGAGCAGACCGACTGATGAACTAATGGATGAGGGACCAGCAGCACGCCTAGGTGCCGCGCTGCCTAGAGAATGAGGTTGGGACTCTCGGAGGGTCCTGCACGGAGTGGCGGCGCCGCTGATCTCCAGGAGGAGGAGGGGGTGGGGAACGTGGAGGAGGGGGACTGTAAAATGAAAAGGCTTGGGGGGAGGGGAAGGAGAGGGGCTGCGCAACTATTGGCACTCACTCAGCTCTGGGGTCTCCAGCCACGTGGAGGGGGGGGCAAGGGGTGGCACAGGAAGAAGGATCGAGCAGAGGTCTGGCTTTGGAAGGGTCTTTAAGCAAAGCCTCCCTCCCAGTGGCTGGTGCCTCTGGCGCGCAGCTGCTTGTGATCTGGACCCGAGGCTCCCGACTTCTTTGACAAGTAAAGCTTTTTCTCAGATGCTGAGGGTGCTGCTGATTGAGAGATGGGGGAGGGGGGGTTGTCATATGAGTTCCATCCCCCTGCAGCCAATTTCTTACGATTCTTTTTCTTCCTTCGCGCCAAGGTGCGCCGACCAGCTTCATTCCAAGCGCGCTTAGGCAGATTCTAGGCGCCTGCCTCCGATGGAGCAAACCGCTGCTTTCTTCATCACCGAGGTGGAGATCCCACCCCGAGGTGGGATCTGGCAAAGACGCCGCTGGGAGGAGGAAAATCGACCCGAGCTCGTCTCGGATTCCCAGCTGTCCACAACTCCCTCCCGTCAACCCCCATATTCAGGGGCCAAGCCTCTTGGTCCAGTGGCTCCCAGACTCAAGGGGTACCAAAGCCACCTTGTCCTTTGAACCCCCAGCCCACCTCCCAGATGCTTAAGAATTCTGGGGATCACACCGATTAGCCAGAGGAGGGGTGACATTGCTGCAGGGGATGGGGAATGTATTTCTAATGATCTCAGGCATTCTGGTGCAGCTGGCTGATCTTGGGCGCTGTAAGACCAGGGTTCTAATTTCTCCCCGCACACTTAGTAGCTGTGCGACCCTGGGCACATCCCTTCACATCTCTAAGACTCCTCTGTAAAAATGAATGGGCTGACCACTGGCCTCTGAGCTCCCTTCTGACTCCAGATCTACGAACCTGATACGGATTCAGAAACTCCAGTCATTTAACCCGTGTCTGACATGACCTGTATGAATCTCGTGGGGCGTGGGCGATTGGCTTGGTTCGGTTTTGTTCTCAATCTGGGATTTTATCTACGTAGTGAACTCCGCCCCTTGGAGCAGGTCTGTGGCTTACAGCCTTAGAGAGTGCCTGCTAAGAGAAGAGGATCAGCAGCTTATCCAGGGTCACTCAGCCCCTGTGCTTCCGAGGCGGGACTTGAACCCCAGGGTAGCTTAATGTTCAAGGCAAGAGCCGCGGAAATGGCCACTGCTGCGATCATTCCCCACACTGGAGAAGTGCGTCTCCTCAGGCTGGGACACCAGGCTTGGTCAATTGCAGCAGGGGGCGTGGCACTGGGCTGGGGAGGCAGCAGGTGGAGGCTTTGAAGTCAGTGGAAATTCTAGACCCTCCCTTCATCCCAGACCCGCTTCCCCTTGCTTAGAAAGCCTTTGCTGTACTCGGAATTTCAGGCCAGAGAGTGGATAGTGGAAAGAGGAGGCCTACCTGCCTCTCCAAGTGTCATTGGGAGGCACTGCCCTAAGCCTTTGCAATGTCCAGGTCAGAGGTAGCCCCAGACACTGGTCCCAGAGGCCCACACTGTGGTTCTGCCTCCCACCCCCAGCCCCATCCTGGTGCTAGGCAGGCCCTCCACAGCCCCCTGGGGCCAGCACAAAGCCTTCGCAATTAGGATTATCAGAGCAGGTAAAGGAGAGGAAGAGGAGGAGCAGCTACTCATTCCAAGCCCCATCTGTGATGGAAAAGGAGCCTTTCCAGGGGGTCTCCCAATCAAAGCCTCCCTTCTCCACCTCTGGGCTGCCTGGGTATTCACTATGGGCTTGAAAGCCCTTGCCGATCACTCCGCTGCCCATAGTTTCCATAGAATTCCAGCTCTAAGGAATGGGGCCTCCTCCCCACCTCTGGAAAGGTGCAGGAGCTTTCCTTGGCCTGACCCAGGGAACCTGGGAGGATGGAAAGAATGAAGGATTGAAAAAAGGAAGGAAACAAATATAAACAAGAATTTATTAAGCATCTCAGCAACCCTCTAGAGGCTTGTAACCCAGTTTACAGTTGAGGAGACTGAGGTAGGTAGAGGTTAAGTGATTTGCCCAGGGTCGAACAGCCAATGAGTGGCTGAGGCCATATTTGAACTCACATCTTCCTGACTCCAGGACCAGTACCTCTAGAAAGGGAAAGGGTCCTGCTAGGGAGGAAGATGCCTCCTGTTAGGAACAAAGGATATGAATACATAGAGCAAAGGGAAATAAACAGAGGGAGCACGTGCACTGCTTTGTTTCTAACTTTCTCTCCTCGTCAGCTCTTTCTCTATTTTCCTCTTCCTTCTTTGATTTGAGCTTCTCCAATCCTTTATGTATTCAATTCAATTTGATTTGACAAACACTTATTTAAGCGGTCCGAGGAGAATGAAAAAGGGAAGTGGGGTGCTAAGACCACTTGGAAAGAATGCAAGATGCAACCCAGTGTCGTTGCTAGGTGTTTCCCTTTGTTGTGGGGGAGAACACAGCTTGGGGGTGGGGACTTTGACATCAAAACAAAGTAATAAATATGCAAAACAAACCAAAGCAAATGCACATTAAACGCCTGTGCTCCTGATACCCCCTGAGCGCTTTCATTTGGATGTCCCTTCAGTGACACTGAGCCGGTCCCACAGATGCCTGCCCATCCTCAGGAGTCAGAGTGTGGCTCCCCACGGGGAGGCTGCGCGCTTGCTTCTTTACCTCGCTTGGTGAGGGTACAATGGGGCAGCTCAAGCTGGCCTCTTGTAATTCACTCATACATTTCCCTAATGATAGCTTGGGCTCCGGTTCTTTGAAATTCCTTAGTAGTAACGTGTATACATGTGTAATGATCATAATTAAGGGACAGTAGGGCTGTTAGCCACATAACTGACATAGATGTTAGGTAGGATTTAGGGATTGGACTTGTGACCTCAATGGTATAGCCCCCAGGTGTAGACACTCCCTCAAACGTTGCAGTCAGCGCTTGTGGCACTTGTGCTGTTAGCAAGCTGCCTAGAGCAAGGAGAGGTTAATGGACTTACCCAGGGTCACACAGTCAGGGAGTGTCAAAGGCACATCTTGAACCCAGGTCTTCCTGGATCCAAGGCTGGCTCCCTATCTGTAATGCTATGTTATTTCTCACATACTGGGTATCCCAAGTCAAGAACGAGCCTTTTCCCTGTCCTTAAATTAATGCCTCCTTTTCGCCTCCTTCCCAGTGCTTGACTGTTGACAAGCCCTTGATAAGTATTTGTCAATTGACTGGTTCTCCTTTGTGTGCACATTGATGCCCATTTCCCCCAAGAACTAACAATGGACCTTTTTATAGGCTTTGAAGTTTGCAGATAATTTTCTAAACATTATCTAATTTGAGACTTGTCTTAACCCCCTGAGGGCAGAACAGCAGGTATTGTTGGTTCCATTTTGCAGATGGTCAAACAACAGAAGTGGCTCATGTAAGGTAACTGACTAATTCTTTGGGAAGCTCTATGCATTTGTCCCAGAAAAAAATCTTGGAGTTTCTTCTACCAATGTCCTAGGCAGGATTTGAACCCAGGCCTTCTGGACACCAGGTCCAACACTGTATCCTCAACATCAAGCTATTTCCCTAAGTAGCCATTAAATTTTCTGAAGCTTTGTCCAAAATGAACATTTCGCAGCTCTTCCCTTTGGTAACTTCTTGCTGTCTTCAAAGTTTAGTGCTGACTGTATTCTAAAGTGGATGCTGTGGGTCAGATGGAGCTCACTGGGCATGAGTAGCAGATTAAAACGGTGCCCTTCTTTTTGCCAGAACTTGGGAATTGCTTTGAAATTTTTATTATTCTTGTTGAAGGAGTCACTTTCCACAAAGCTCATGGTGCTGAGAGACTGGGGAAAGAGAGAATGAGTTTACCTAGAAGGCACAAAAGAAATAGCAAATGAGAGAGAATAAATAATGCTATATCAATACCACATTATTCAAAACTCATCAGAAACAGGTCTGGTCCCCTTTAAAAATGTTGATGCACTTTATTTTGACAAAGAAACTTCCCAGAAATGCCCAAAGAATCTCCCTTACAAAATACATTACCCAGCCCATCAAGTGGCTGAACAAGCTGTGGTATATGAATGTAATGGAATACAATTGTGTTATAAGAAATGATGAACAGACAGATTTCAGAAAGTCTTGCAAAGACTTGTAGGAACTGATGCAAAGTGAAATGAGCAGAACCAGGAAAACACTGTACACAGTATCAGCAACATTGTGTGATGATCAACTATGAATGACTCAGCTCTTCTCAGCAACACAATTATCCCAGACAAGTAGAAAGGACTCACAATGGAAAATGTTGTCCATGTCCAGATAAAGAACTGATGGACTCTAAATGCATATCAAAACATACTTTTTTCACTTACTTTATTCTTTTTCGTGTTTTTTCTTTCGATTTGTTTCTTCTTTCACAACTATGACTAATATGGAAATATATTTTACATGATAGCACATGTGTAACCTATATCACATTGCCTACCATTTTAGGAAGGTGGGAGGGGAGGGAGGGAAAGAAAAATTTGGAATTCAAAATCTTGTAAAAATAAATGCTAAAAATTGTCTTGACATGTAATTGGGGGGAAAAGACTATTAAAATACATTCCCCAATGTGAACTGGTTCAGCCGTTTTGAAAAGCAATTTGAAATTGTGCCCTAAAAGTCACTGAACTGTTTATACCCTTCAACCCAGTGATAAAACTAGGCCTATCCCCAAAGAACTCAAAAGAAGAGAAAAAGGACTTACATATATGACAAATATTTACAGTAGCCTTTTTTTTATGGTATCAAAGAACCAGAAACTTGAGGGTATTCCCATCAGTTGGGGAATGGCTGAACAAATTATGATAATTGAATACTATTGTGCCAAGAGAAATGATGAAAGGGATGTGTTCAGAGAAACCTGGGAAGACTTGTATGACCTGATATGGAGTAAAGTGAACAGAATCAAGGGAATCACTCACATCATAACAACAGCATTGTTAAGATAGACAAAGGACTTGGGAAGATTGCAGATCTCTGTCCAGTGTAATGACTAGTCATGATTCCAGAGCACCGATCATGATGTCACAATGAGACACACACTTTTTTGGATGTAGAGAATGTGAGAATTTGTTTTGCTTTCTATGCATATTTTTTGCAAAGGTTTTTTTTTTTCATTTCAGTTGGAAGGACAGGAGGGAGAGAGAATAAATGCTTGTGGATTGAAAATTTAAATGGGAAAAATACACCCCCCCAATGAATTATTGATCATTAACATTATTGACCATTTTTATAGATACCTTGCCCTCTGTCCTACATATCATCCTCTTCTTCCATTCTGCCTGATATTCTTGCTCTGGCTAACAGTAATCAAATCACCACTGCCATCGGTACTGGAAAGAGC